GAGAGATCTCTCTTTGGCTCACGGGGCTTGGTCGCTGTAGAGAGACGCGGAAGTCCCGGGTTCGAGCCCCGGACGGTGCAGGGGCCGACCTAATGCGGCAAGGGCGCCCGCCTGAGCCCCCGTTGCGTTACAATATGTTATATATTATATAATAATTATTTATATTCTGGTTTACATTGATGTAACCCATCATCAAGTTTCAAACATTTTGTTCAGACCTATTTTTCAAAATACCCCCAAGACTAGGGGAATAAGCAAGGCAACTATCATCATTCATCACTGTTACTGTTATTGTAGTTACTGCATCTAAAAACCTCATGAAAAAGGAGGGTTAGCAGATCTTTTGCAGTTAACATTACATCTTAGGTCTGTTCATCCCTTCCCATCACAACTAAGAGCTTGATCGACTCCTTTTTCCAGCTTGTATAGTGATTAAAGATGTGGACTGAAATCCATCTGGAACAGACTTGAAATTCCAGACTTATTACACTGCAGATTTAAATTGGACTTGAACACGAAGTGACAAAAGTTGTAGCTCTTTTCAGTTCTGCCAGCTTGCCAGCTAGCCTTCTCTCATATTCCTTTATTGAATTACATCTGGTACAAACCGATATACTGTTGCTTATTTTCTCAGACCTACTTTACAGCGGGAGCAGCACTATGTATATCTGAAGAGAGGTTTACGTTACCTTTCAGATGCCTACGAGGTAAGTTATTGTCAATCCTGGAGGCAGATACAGAGCTCACTAATGACCTTCTGCGTTTACTTAATGTCTGTAAATAGTATTCCAGCTTTCAAAAACTGCCCTTCTGTAACAAATCTCCCCATCTAGCCTTATTTTTAAATTTGAAGGGTAGGGTATCATATATGATCTATTAAATCAAATAACTAAGTCTGCCTCCAGTTCAAATCAATTTAAGGATAATAATGCAACAGTTTTAATATATAGTCATAACTGATAATCTATTTTTTAAACAATTTTCTTAATGCCTAAATATATATATTTTGATGGTCAGTATGATTTACCAATTTGCGAAGTAAATCTAACAACAGAAGTCATTTTGTTATGCTGTCCTTTGCCCTTTGGAGCTGTTTCTGGAATTCACGAACACATGTTCAAGCTTTTGCGTTTGATTATACTGCGCAGTGTCTTGATGCCAGCCGTCCTTGGCTCTGCTACTGGATCCTGCATAGCCTTGAGCTCCTAGATGAAACTGTCCCAGCCTCCATCGCCTCAGAGTGAGTAGAGAGAGCAAAGTGGACTGCAGCTGTTACAGATGACTCATCTCTGGGTCTCGGACACAGGGCTGGCCAGGCACGATTTCACCTGAGATTTTTTTCATGCGTTGTCTTGTTTTTTACTCCTAAAAACCCAAGAGTGAGAAGAAACTTCACACCTGATTCTCTTTGCCCCATGTTGTTCTGCCGTTGAAACCCAGATGACAGAGTTGAGATTGGGAAAATGTACTTTCACCTACACCTCGGAAATGCAGATTAATCTGTAACTGTTTATTTATGCACAGATAGATTAGATACAATTTCTTATTTCTTTAAGGTACCCATCTTATCTTAAAATTAAAACAGTCAATGATTTGAAATATTACAGTATTCAAATTATGTTCTCCATTTAACAGCTTTATTTGCTCAATTTCTTGATTTTGTAGGCTTGAAACGTTTTCAAGATAAAACATTAAATAAAACCAACAACTCGCTCTTTATAATGCTGTCTTCACTTAGTGGCAATCTTTTCTTCGGCAGTAAACTGGACTGAGTTATAAAGAGGACAGCATACAGAAAGGAAGGTATAGAATGGTTTAGCAAGACCATTCTAAAACTTTCCCCAAACTTTAACAAACAATAACGAACGAGAACTGTAACTTATTATGTCACACCAATTTACCTTTCATTTTCTGGGATCACTTTTTTTCTTTTTCATTTTAACAATGAACACAAGCCCACATATTCATAGTAATACTTTTGATATATTACTTAACCGTAAGAATCAGAAATGTATGGCATAAACTATACAGTATCATAATAACATATTTTTAAGCATCTAAAATATTGTGATATGCATCTCCAGTGTACAGCCCACTCCTACTGCATATTTTCACAATGTTATTGTAGCTGTATGTATTCTATACCTGACGTGAACACAAATATAGAGGCTTGCAGCTGGTGTTTTAGCTGTGCAGTGCACTGAATATTCCTTCCTTGTCTTCTAGTGTCTGTAAATTCCTAGCAAAGTGTCAGAGTCCCACGGGGGGCTTTGCAGGAGGGCCAGGTCAGCATGCCCACCTGGCACCTACATATGCTGCTGTCAGTGCCCTCTGTATAATTGGCACAGAGGAGGCCTATAACGTCATTGACAGGTAAGACCTGGCTGAAGTCTTCAGGAAAGTTTTTTTTTTTTGTAACTGAATGTGATTTGTGTAAATTGGAAGAAAAGTTTGCAGAATAAGAAATTGCGCATGTAGTTAATTGCACGTTAATCTTGAAGATAAGTAAAGATAAGTATGATGTAAATACTGGCCACACTGATGGCACAGATGAAAAAGATACAGTAGATGATATTATCCGCAAGGTTTCGGACATGAGCAATTACCACAGTCAGCTATGAGAGTAGAGAGTGGAGGTTTGACGTCCTGCAGGGTAGTACCTACTCTTATCCTTATCCATTAGTCTTTCTGGAGCTCCTTTGTGAGTATGACATTCACGCAGTGTTCTTTTGAAGCACAGTTAAATGAATTTACCGTAAAATCCGAACTGTTCCCAGCACTATTTTAGTTGGACTTTCAAGTCTGTGTAGTCTGCATTTGAGGGCTACAAATTGCTGTCTTCAAAGCTCTCCAGAGTTCTCAGGTGGCATTCCTAGAAATACCGTATGTTAATGTTCCCCATTGAAACAGTTCTCGGGTAAAAAAAAATGAGGAGCATTAAACAAAAACAGATTAATAGAGCAAAAGTGACAAAAACTTTAGAAACAAATGAAGTGAGCGTAACTTATTAATGAAGTTCAAGTAACGATACTGGAATACTGGAATACTTTCGTTTCTTACCAGACAAAGACTGCTAGACTTCTTGTATTCAGTGAAGCAGCCTGACGGCTCTTTCATAATGCACGTGGGTGGAGAAGTGGATGTCAGGTACGTCCTGTTGCCTTGGTTTCTGTTTTCAGCAGACTGCCTTATCAGCAACAAACAGAGTTACATACCGTTTTCCCCTTTGGTAAAAACAACAGGAATCCGCTGCTTGTTCTGGCCAGCCCTTTTTTTTATTTGCAGTGTGTTTAAATGTGTTAAGAAGCATTAGTGATGAAAAACATTGAAGTCTTAATGCAGTTGGTAATTAATTTTTAAATTAAGAATTCTAGCCCTAATAAGTTCTTTTGTTCTCCCCCTTTTCTGTATGCTGTGTGTATTTCTCTCTGTTCTGAGCCAAATCAGCTTTCCTTGAAGTTCTGAGCTAATGATTTTTGTGATGGACTGGCATCCTGAGGACGCTAGTCCAGGGGGTATCCTATCTCTAGCTCCTTTTTCTGCTCACCGTGATCCAGTAATAAAGGATAATTTTATTTTATGCTAAATATTTGCTTTGTAAATTTTCATAACGTACCATGCATTTTAACCATACATATATTTTTCTGCATTGTTAATTATTGTATTGGGTTTGCATTATATTGGGTTGGCATACTGCACATAGATTAATCTGTGTAGCCTTTAAGCTTTTTTGTCTATATAGTTCTATTAATTGGCAATGGAAAGCTAAAGCTCTAAAAATGAATATGGGTAGGGCTTGTAAGCAAAAGTGTCCAGTAGCTGTCAGTTCCCTTACTTGATACAAGTGCAGGTCTCCTGATTAGGACCAGTCGCTAGCTGTCACAGCTTTCCCATCCACCCTGCCTGGTGCTCAAAACAGAATCGGCCATTGTCTTGACTGCTGTCAGCTGGCCTCGCTCAGATGCAGGAATTCATAGCGTATCTATAAATGCAATCACATTCTCTGAGTTTCTCCGAGTTCACAGTCTTCTGTTCGGAATATTCCCACTACTCTAAGATCACTTCCACAGACAAATCAAATGAAATCCTTGCTTACTGAAAGCTTACTCCGAACTGGCAAAATTCCACCCACAGATCCTTACCCTCAGAGCCACTGCACCGTACCCAGAGATACTGCTGGCACGCAGAAATATACGTGGGGTTACTTGGGTGATTTTATGGTAGCCATTATATACCAACAGCCCCATTGCACATTAAATCAGGTGGAGATTTGAGTAATTACTTTCCCAGTTGAATTAAAGTAGAACTGCTATGCTATTTTTACATTTCTGGGTTGAAATGAGTCCGCAATGATGAGTGCATTTCACACTGTAATGAAACTACAAAGTACGTGATAATGTGTACAAGATACGATGTGCATCACAAAAGAGACAAAGTTGCGTAGCGCCATATTGCCTTTATTGTCTGCTGTTCAGAATGAGACAACTAAACTTTCAATGACGCAAAACCAGTTCTATTACATTGTAACCTGCTTTAGACCAAGCGACATTTTGCTACCATGTTAAAAGTAAATATTTTCATGAAACCAATACATACAAGATGATATGCTTTTTAGGTAGTTTTAAGTATTGCAAAAAAAAGATCAACCTGCCAACCAATTAAAATACATTTATCATTATTAACTTTGTAGGAGACCATGCTTCTCATTTGCTTACAGTAACTAGTTAGCAGGGACGGGCGCTTTCACTTGACAGTTTGCACAAACTCAGATCTCACCCATGGCAAAACCAGCAGTTTCATGTCTGCCTGCAGCTACATGGCTACATTTTACACTTAATCTGAAATTTGTGGAATTTTGCAGTACCTAGGTTTCATAACCTGTCTGAGAAATTGGGACTGCAGTTCCCCTTGTAAGGAGGAAATGTAAGGAGTCCAGATTAAATATACCATAAAGTGGAATTGAGCAAGAGCACAGCACTGGTGTCAACAACCCTACTCATGAATGTTGTAGAATCTTTAATTGCCAAGTAGTCAATCTTGTGTTAACATCTCATCTGAAGGTTAGCACCTCCTACAGCACAGAATGGTCCAGAGGCCACCTATTGGTCCAGCACCTGGATTTCCCCAAACGTCTCCCATCCCAGTACAAACCAGGCCCAGCCTTGTTTACAAGATCTGAGATCTGGTGAGGTTAAGAGATGGTAATGCTGCTCTCTAAGTCTAAAAATAAATGTCATAAGTATGGCATGTCTTTGAGCAAGCTGAAATGACTGCACTGGAAATCAACAGAAAGAGTGCAGATAAAGGGATGCTGAAAAGTAAAAGAAAAGAAGAGAAACTACTTCTCAGCTGTGAGGTTTTTCAGGTCAGATATCGGCAGTCAGGTGTGGGTCTGGTTAATAGGGGCCACAGTGTCAGTGAACTGTTTCTTGTATTTCAGAAGTGCATACTGTGCTGCATCAGTGGCTTCTCTAACTAACATCATCACACCTACGCTATTTGAAGGAACTCCAAACTGGATTACTAGGTAAGGGAATCTGAAATGCTTTTGAAAGCAATGACTAAAACATTTTGTGCTTCACTCCTGGCTAAACATTGCGTGAACAGTCCAGTTATTACTGCATTATTGCTTCTGGCTTGTGTGAATGCCTTGTGCTTTGCTATTCATGTATTCATGTCATAGTTGTATAGCATTTTTAAAGCTGAGTCAAATTCCTCATTTTGAATAACTTTGGACGGAGTTATTCATCCTGTTTAATTTACCAAGATAGTTTGGTCGGACTAATTAAGCCTATGCTCTGTTTTCTTGTTTCTGTCAGTTGTCAGAACTGGGAGGGGGGTATTGGAGGAGTACCGGGTCTGGAGGCCCATGGTGGATACACTTTCTGTGGATTGGCAGCCATGGCCATTTTTCAAAAGGAGCATATGCTAGACCTCAAATCCTTGTTAGTAAGTCTTGGCCTGCACACTTTCAAAATATGTCTCTGTATACTAGATACAAACATCAAAGTGCATGACTTAAATGGAGGTATAAATGGTGCATGTAGAAGTGCATTTAAAACTGAGAACAGGAGGCACTTCTTTACCCAAAGAGTTGTGGGTGTATGGAACAAGCTACCAGGGTGTGTTGTTGAAGCCGATTCTCTGGCTTTCTTCAAGAAACAGCTGAACAGGCTATTTCGGCTAAGTGGCCTTGTTTTTAACTGTTCTTATCTTAGTATATACGCTTGAAACTGCCATCCCTCCTACAATTAATCCATTATCTTTCACCTTTAGTGTGAAACTACACCTTGAAATAGAATAGGTCTGTTGGGTGAAAAAGATTGTTTTTGAATTAATAATTACATCAAGAATTATGCTGCTTCCAGGTCTCAGAATAGTAACTTGTTTTGATGGGAAAAGACTGTAATATTCTGGAGCCTGTGATGGGTTTCCACTGCTCTGTGTATCATCTGATAAATACAGATTTGTTTGCATTACTTCTGTTTTAAAAAGTTCCCTTTTTTGAAGTTCCCTGGTTATGCAGTAGGAAATGCTGCAGTGAATGCAGTTGGGTCTCCTTTTTTGATTTGTAATCTTAGAAGTACAATGATTGGATGGTACTTGAAGACCCATCATACCTGTGAATGCAACGGAAGGGTCACATAAAACCTAAGACCATACTGAATGTTTCCCTATGTATCAAAATAAGATTAGCTTTTAAAACAGACCTTTACATGATGCCAATAATACATGCACTCAGAGCCTAGTTGTAGTGGTGTTTCATAAGAAGTTGGGCTTGATTAATTCTCCTGGTTCTCCTCTAAACACGTTATTCTAAGGAGGAACTTTATACATTTTCCTTAAATGATGCTTGAACGCACAACAAAATCAATTTGTTCTAATTCCAGTTTAACCCAGCAGAATTGATTTTTAAAACACTGAATTTAGATTGATTCCTGCAATTCTAAATATTGTGTGTTTGTTTCCCAGCATCATTTCAGAGCAAATGTTTCTTATAATATAGTGACATGAACTGGGTACAGTATTTTAAACCAGGTCAAACTATAGCAATTTTATTATGGTTTAATAATTGATTATGTAACTAGAACAATGTGAATTCTTCTATTCTATGTGCTGTTTTTTTGGACTGTAGCGCTGGGTCACGAGCAGACAAATGCGTTTTGAGGGCGGATTCCAGGGCCGCTGTAACAAGCTTGTTGATGGCTGTTACTCATTTTGGCAAGCTGGGCTGCTCCCTCTTCTCCACAGATCTCTGTTCAAAGAAGGTATTAACATTTATCAGGACCTCAATCCATAATTGAGCTCAATATCGGGAATTTAACTCACATGTGTCTCTGTGGATAAATAGACACAGGGTAAACCATTTGTCCTTCATTGTTTCTGTGAGGTGGGCTCAGAAAGCCTTATCAATGAATTAGGCAAAATTGTTGACACCTTTTGAAGCTTATGTGTCACTCAAAAATCTAATTTGCAGTTGTGTGTGACACTGAATTTGTGTTACAAACTTAAGATTCAAATCTGGGTGAATCAGAGTTTTTTCGATTGGCCAATTGTGGTGGTGGGTACAAACTGGGATTAAAAAGTCAAAAGTTTGGAATTGTGAAAATTCTGTTGCAGGAGACAAAGCACTGAGTATGACCAACTGGATGTTTGAGCAGCAGGCCCTACAGGAGTATATCCTGCTGTGCTGTCAGAACCCGAGCGGGGGGCTGCTGGATAAGCCGGGCAAGTGAGTATCGGCGAAACGTGCAGGGCTGCATAGTTGTAGAGTAGTAGTTGGTGAACTATGTGCACTTGTACTGAAACACATAAGGCTGTACAGCTGTAAATCAGTAGATGTTTAGCTTAGTAACAACTCTTTTAAACTGCACTCTGTGTAGATGCTGGAAATGCAGATTTTTCTGAGTAATTTATAGGAAGGTTTTCACCATTGAAAATGTTATCTTTATGTCTGCTTACTAGGTTATGCTGCTCAAATAAAAAAAGCAACCTTTAGCAGTGACACATATGTTCTTTTTAAATAGTCTGCAGTTTGATTTTTCTGAAACTTTTCAGTTCAAGGGTACAGAACCATTTTCTTGGAAACGATAGTCCTTGCCTTTTAAGCATCGGAGCTTCTTCCTTAGAGAGGACACAGAAGCTCCCCTAGAGACTTGTAATCAATACATTCAGACTGAATTGGAAGAATGTTGTGGATCAGGTTACAGATGTTCTCAGAGGGGCGTCAGCTGTCACAAAATTGTGTTGATGACAACATTGAAGAAACGGTTAACAAGAACCAGACTGATCTTTGAAAGTAGTTGAAAGGCTAAATATCTAAACGGCTGTCTTGATTAAATAACCTTTTAGATCTTTTGGAATAATTTTCATATCTTAAATATTCATTTGAAATCTTTTTTCAACTTTTTATGCATTAATTGGCACACATGGAGAATTTGACTTGTCAGTGAAGGTCAGCTATCGTATATTAAAGCAGTTTTTCTAAACTGGAAAAAATATAATGATGCCGCTCACAGAAATTGGGCCTTAGTGCTAGTTTTTATATAATCAGTGCTTTCACTCATTCTTTAAATGCTGTTTTCCTCAATGCTGAATCTATTCTAATTATCCTCCTTTACCTAGATCTAGAGACTTCTACCATACCTGCTACTGCCTAAGTGGTCTTTCTATAGCACAGCATTTTGGAAGCAGGGAAATTTACCATGAACTTATCCTAGGCAATGATGAAAACCGATTGGTAAGTTTCCTGGTAAATGTTTTTGAAGTGCACTCCACTAAATCTTTGCTTTTACACAGGAACAATTGTTCTGAAAAGCGTAGAAAAGAGGAGGTACTCTGTGAAATGTTGTGCTGTAAAGAGAGTTCTGTTGTTTAGCTACTAGCAACCAAACAAGCAGGATGGGCCAAATGGTCTGGCCAGTGAGGTCAGGACATATTCCCGGTATGAATGGAGAAGATTACCAAGGGACATTGCACACCATCCAGCAATGTCATCACACCACTGCTTTCCCAGAACTCATTATGAGGTTTTAACTCATATGTTACGCACAGTGTGAACTTTAAAGTGCTGCAGTAAATCTTTTTTGTGATGGAGCCCCTTTTCACCTGCTTGTGTACATGGTGAGTTCATAGTACACCACAGCCTTTGCATGGCAATACATCTTTATAATACAAAGCACATAAGCTCTAGCTATTCCCCAGACAGGAATATTGCAGGTGGTGACATTATGTAGAATCTATTGGAAACCTAGAATAATGAATTTGAAATACATATGTGGTGCTACAGCACGTATAAAAAACACCTCTCTGCGTTTTTTACTTTAGATTGCCAGCAAACAAAATAATTACTGACTACGTACAGCTTCTCTGGTGTACCCAGAAAGTGCTCTGTTCTTGACAAGGTGCTGGCAAACAACCTCCACTTAATGATACGAAGTCTTAAATAATTGTATAGACATAACACCAAATGAAGGCTGAGGTACACAAAGAAATGATTTAATATAAACCACTTGAGAATCATTGCACTAGTATATGTACAATACAGTGCTTCTTACAGGTTCCAGAATTTCAGATTCACAAATACAAACACATGATATTCAGTTTTATACAAACCTTTACATCTCCATCTAGTGGTTTAAGTAGAATACTACCTGAAGTGAAATTGCCATTCAACCTTGAAATTAAGCCAGGCAAGCAGTATGTTTAAGCCTGACCCAGTGATGAGATGTTTATATGACATTTTAGTATTTAATTAAATCTTTTCTTTTAAAGTGCTGTATGTTTTCTCCTTTAGCAAGATTGGATATGAAGCATTTCTCACTTTCTGTGTCCTAACAGGCACCGACCCACCCCGTCTATAATATCTGCCCAGAAAAGGTGGCTCAAGCCATAAGATATTTTCATCAGATGCCAGTCCCAGAGCAGAGAGCTACCACCTCCAGCACTCACAACCTCTAACAGACTGCAGGGGATATGTCCATTCCTTGGGTTTGTAAGAAATGTAATATACAGAGTTTACTTCATACTGGCCTGGAACATAGCTGTCATTGTATTTGTGTATGGACATGTCAGGGAATGTCTACCAATGTAAAAGCTTTAACATAGGAAAAGAATGGCCATGCTTTCTTTTTGACTCCTTGGAGTAGGGCAAAACTTACTTCAGTAGCAGCCAATTTATTTTTAGAATGTATTACTAATAAACTTTTGGAATCCAACTATTTTCTCAGAAGTACAGTGTTTCAGTTTAATGTTTTGGATACCTTGATCTCAATTTGCAAACAGGTATATACTGTACATTACTGTTAACTGCTGAGCCCTTCTTGGACCCTTAATGTATATAAACTACTTCCAAAAGTGCTGATTTAATTTACAACTGCATTTTCCAGGTGTCCCTCTTGAAATATTTTTAATTAAACCTTTTGTTTTGGAAAAACACTTCCCGATTGCTCTCTTCTCTAAGTCACGTAAAATTATTTTAATGTTTAAACATTTCGCAATGCTGAAAGCTAAACAGACAAGTATTTTTTTCTAGTGACATTTTTGCTAAGATACACTTATTATAATTATTATTACATTCTGTATGTGCAGAACTTTTAAGCTAAAAATCTAGCACCTTCTAAACCATGAGGATTTAGTTTTGGTTTGTATCCATTTCCTGCAGAAAATTTAAGGGCCCAAAGCTATAAATTATTTTTAATGAAGGACCAGTTTCACAATTTCCAATTCTATTTAAGAAGTATTTTCCACACTGTGGTCTTGAAAACAGAGACTATGATATAACATTTTGATTTAACACAAGAAGGAACTGGATAAACCCTTAGCTCCTCAAATCATGCCGACTTTCCCGTTTAGTAAATCCCTCTTAGTGCCTCAAAGGTCCTGCAGTGGCCAAAAAGCCTAATATACAGTAGATCAGTTTCACACAAAAATAAGGTTCATACTAATACAGATCTAAGGAATAAAAACTTGTAATGCTAAGAAACAAGAATAAGAAGTTAATTCCACACCAGCATATAGAAAACATTTTTGCTGTCGAACCTTTTTTAGGTGTAATGGTGGCAAAGAAGGGGCACAAGAATATAAAGCAAAAGAAAGCATGTAAGAATGGACACAACAGGTGTGAAAGTATCAAAACAAGTGGAACTCTGGGGGACAAGATGTGAAAAGTTGAAATTCATAAATGAATGAAGAGAACATGCATAAAGAAGTAATTTAACATTAAGAGCTAGTGAAAAGTGTTATCCACGTTTAAGGATTCAGCATACAAACCGTGCCATTTGTGCCTGGATCTAACTACTTGCTAAAAACATGTTCATCTGCATTCTCAGTAAGGATGTTGAAGGGAAATCTGGTTTCATTTTAGTTTACACTACACACAGTTTACAATTAATTATGTCATTATAATAAGCTATACTCTAAAGGAGCTCTAAAAGGCCCCAGAGAAATGCACAGATGATTCAATGGGCATGATGCATCAGTTTAATACCTCTCCTTTTTATAGCAGGGCAAGTATAGATGTTTTATAACCCAGGATGCCATTTCACAATGTCCAAACTGCCCAGTTGACTGGTATTATGGAACATAATCCAATTATATAATATCAGTGACATAATACATTCTGAAATGGGGAAATTTGGATTATGTTGGTAAAGTTTACAGACTTTAAAAATGAAATACAAATATTTGTGGCAAAGCTTATATATCAGGTACAGACATATTATGGCTCTACAAAAAATAAATTGGAAAGGTGTTAAGTTATCGCATGCTGTCATAGCACGTACACTAAAACACAAATGGAGAATGTAGCTACAAGACAAGCGACAAGGCTACACTGCCATTTGCAGTTCTTCCCAATTTGTCAGTGGCAGTGTTTCAAATTTTGACCTTTTAATTACAAGTTCCAATTGCCAAACTCAAGCTGCAGTTTCTCTTGGCATTTAATAAGAAGCACGAAATTTACAAAATAAATGTAATACACAGGAGTCATATAGAATCATCCCCTCACTGCCCAAAGACCACCAAACACACCAGCACATAAGGATAAAATAGTTTTATTTATAGTCTCATAGTAAAGGTAGGCCTCAACTTGCAAGACAATTGTTGGCAGTATGTACAACATACCTGTAATTTCCATGGAATGGAATCAAACATGAACAAAGATCTATTTAGTACACTCTAAGTCCTATCGAAAAAAAAGGAAAAAGACATACATATACACATCCCCTAGACAGACAAAACGCTTCTAGAGGCAGTCTTGTTTGTAGAATTTAAATCAGCAACATTAATAGGAGTTTACAGTGTAATGCACAACACACTGACATGGACAATTTTTTTCTTCAATAAAAAGGTATCTACCTTCAACTGCATTGATGAAACATTCAATAACTATTATATATCTGGGAGAACTATATGTAGCATTTCAGTAACTTCCCATGGTTTCATGAGAATAATGTAAAATACAAAACTTGTGAACCTGTGAAGAAAGATTCCAAATGATGACCTTGAAATCGGTTAGCCTATGACATATACCACAATCTAATTGTTTAACTAGCTCAAGCTAAGGGACAAAGTACAATTTAAGCCGCTTTGGAAGTCATTAAATACATCACTTTCAATATAGGGCTTTTTTAAAAAACATTTTTAAATGTAGTCTGATAACCATCTATGGGTCCAGTGGTGGGCTGCTCATTTTTAAAGTAACTTTGTATTTAGTGGAAAAGTACAAATATTAAAAAAAGGTCAACCGCGCCATGACAATTATTAGAGTATGTGTAAATTTCACAACGCTTTACCTCCTAACAGGTTCATACATATTATCAAAAAGTAGTATTTTGTTTTTGCTTTATTTGAAGCTGTACATCGGTCTCCCTGGGATGCTGCTACGACTACCGTGAGGATATAAAAGCATCAAGTCCATAATAGCAAAGCTGCCACACTTGGGTCGAATAGTTGTTGCTGCTGAGAAATGAGTGCTGTATCGTCAGAAAGAGGGAGAAGGAAAAGAAAAACTGAAAGCCCCCTGCTCCCTGCTCCCTCCCTCACCACCACACACCTGTGGGCTTTTGTCCCTCTCCTGAGCCAGCGTGAAGGGCTGAAAGACAAACTGAAAACGGGAAGTACAAGAGAGTCTCTAGTAAAAGCACACCAGTTTCTTTCTGTGTTGCGCTTAGTTGGCATCAACGCGTGGCTTCTTCCTTCTCCCGTCCGACTCGGAATCCGAGCTGGAGTCGGAGCCGCCGTCGAAGGCCGACACGGCGCTGCCTTTCGGGTTGGTGTACAAGCTGCTGTCCGACGACGAATAGCTGGCCTGGAGCTGCGTGTTCCCCTTTGCCTTCTCCAGTGCACGAACTGTGTGAAACAAAATCAAAAACGAGCAGCTTTCAGGAGATGTTTTCATAACAGCTCATTTGGAAGAATAGAGAATCAACTAGTTTACCTTTTACACCTTGTTCAAAGTAGACCGCATGCAACAGTGACTTCATATAAGGAACTTGGTTCTAATACTGCTCATGTCACTGTATCGTGTATATCACTAATTTCATTTCTGTGTTTTTCTCACTTTTTACCCAGCTCAACATAAAACAGGTTAAAAAATAGGTCTAGATTCCATTTAGGAAAGGTATTCATTGTTCTTTGAATACTGGGTGTTTTCTTCATCATTATAACTTTTAAATACATTTGTGATTACACTAGATCTTCATTTTCTTTAAAAGAACAATGTTAGATGTCTCAATAAACTGGCAAAAATTGTTGGTAAAATGCACGTTAAATAAGATCTAGGTTTAGTGATCTGCATCACCTGTAAATGCGGATCAGCGGATTGATGAGGAAAATACAACAGATGGTCATGACATTAAAAGAAAAAAGCCAAAAGGCCCGTATAAAGGATGCCACTTAAAAAATTCAGCAGAGTAAACAAAGAATATTAATCAATCGAAATTACAAAAGAAACGTTTTAAAATCCATGTCTTTCTGAAACCATACATTTGTTTCTTTTGCTGCTCTGCATTTTTTTTTATTTTTTAATATAGCAATGTATATGAAAAGAGAAAATGTGTGTTTCAACATCAGTCAACATCCAAGCTCGAGGGGGAAAATAAAACTGGCAAGGGAAGTTAGGTCGGTCACAGAGATCAACGCATCCTGCTACCTGCAATGCGCAGCAGCTCTGCACTCCCTCACCTTGTTGCTCCAGCAGAGCGTTTTGCCTCTTCAGGTCGTCGATGTCTTGCTGGTGTGTATGGTTTTTCCGTCTCATGTACTGGATATACTCTGTGGCTTTGTCTAGGATTTGAGCTCGGGATGCCTGTTTGATAGATTGCTGTCAGCAACAAGTTATAAACTAAAACACACAACGCAGGGTTATATTTTCCTTAGCTCATTACTACAAAATAACTTATTTCATAGGCCACTCTTACAATAACTATAACATGTTTAGGACATTTAGACATTTCCCTCCTCTTAGAGACATGTGTAACAGTTCCGTTCAAGGAAATAACCAGCTTACTGCTGTTCAGGAGATAATTATATGTTACACCATTCTGAGCCTCTTTACCTAAGGTTGCAGTCTCAAATTAAGGAACAAAGTAGATTTCATATTCATTCTAGCTTTATGAAGCTGTGGTTTATCAGCAGAAAGACATGCCTTTTCACTCTTATCAGAACAATTTATTTAAAAACAATGTTGCTGATTTTCAGCTAACTGCTGTCTTCAACAGAAGAAAAGGCTTTATGAATGAAATGTTCTGAAAGAAAATCCTAACAAAAGGGTAGTTAATGCTAGTTCTGGCACTCGGCCAGACAAAATCCAAAACAATTCAGGTTTAGTCACTACTGTACTGTATGAGATAAAAGGGCAAGTATCTTTAAAGACTGTCACTTTAAAGAACTTTAATCTGATTAACATTTTTAAATGTTTTTTCTACTGCTGCCCAGCATTTTTTAAAATACTTAATTGCAAGCCATGAACATATATAATGCATTTCATAATATAAAAAAATGGGACAGTCCAAATTAAAATACTCATTCATTACTTAAAACTATTTCCAAATATTTGTACAACTTTGTTAAATGTGAATCATGCAACTGTATTTATAAAATGACACATATAGTCCTTGTCCCATCTTACCTTTAAAAGTGGACCCATTGGTTGTAGCTGGCACAGTTTAGGTTAAGTGCCATCTAAATACCTCTGTCTTTAATCTGAAACTGGTTTCAATCTCGCACTCTGTTGTCAAAAGGAGAATTTTCTACAGTGCAAACTCATTTTTAAACTGAGTTTGTCACACACTGTAACTCAAACTGATACACTGAAATAAAGAGTGTTAATATCATACAGCAGAACATAAATTCCATTAGAACATATTATAAAACCATACATTTTCAAGATGTACTTTGTCAACTTAGATTGAAAAACAGGAATGTAAAACTGAATTCCTTGAAGCTTTCATTCATTCATCACCATTCCTCTTACTATTCAGCCTTCTACTTTTTCTTGATGGGTCTTAATCCAGCAGATAAACTCTGCTACCTGTAGTTCAGTCAGATAAATGTTTAAATATTGCCCTGGTCCATAGTCTTAAGTGTGCATACATGAAGAAACCAATGACAGTGTAGTGTAATATACCTTGAGACTCTTAATAGGAGTTCTCAAATTCCAAAGAGACCCCTTAATAAGTTCAAAAACTGTAATAAAAATATGGTACGAGTATCTTTAATAATGTCTTATCTATTTTATGTGAGGAAATGGCAATGTCTAAGGCCTGTGAAAATGGTATTTTCTCCCTGGCAGGCTTTAACAACTTTAATAATGAAGTGAGCAATGCAGGGTTAGGAGGGTGTGAAACCACCATTTCAGTGGAAATTCCTTTATTGCCGTCTTTTTACAGTGAGCACAGCACAAATATACTGCTTCACTTGTTGAAAGGAAAAGGGTTAAAATTAAAAGAGCTACATACAGTAGCTATGTTAGAAATGTCTCAATGTATGCATCACCTTGAATAAACAGTTATTTGTTTATTGCAACAATACAAGTGGTTAGATTAACCCAATAAGTCTTCCAATACTTGATTCTCTCATTTTTAGGTTGTGCAGCAAAACTAATGTGTTCCTAAGACCAGAACTCTGTTAAATGGTTAAATGATTTTTTCCCCCAAAGGTATAACAATTCACTAAGCCTAACAATTCTAACTTCAACAGATATTAAATATTAATATTTAATTATATTAGAGGTTTTCAAGGCCCTCTTTAAACACCTGTCTAAAGGAGTGATATCAATGATAAGATAATGTTTTTATGTTTAACAGTCATATAGCGATTCACAGTTCTAGCTATTGCTGCACTCAACCACAAAGTTTAAAAACATTTAAGTAGTAATGACTGGTTACCAGAAAGTTACAAGTACCTTAAAGGTACACAAAGTTGGAAATTAATTTTACAAATCCAGGAATGTTTGCTAGTACCATTTTTGTGATGTAAAGTAAAAAAAAAAATCTAATTCCTGTGAGAGAACAAGAAGAATTTATAGATGGTCTTAAAGCACAAAACTTCCAATTCCTTAAAATCAACCAAACAGAAATGTTACTAATGGAGGCAATGAAACCTTGTTGTTTTAATTGGGAACCAAATTTACAAAGGGATCAGCACGAACTGCCCTCTTCTTAATTGAAATGCTGTTATAGCTCTTCTTTTCCAGAAAGTGCACTACAGTTTTCAGGTGAACACAGCATGCTTTTCCTTTATAAAAATGGTGGTGGGGGCAGTAATCATAAAAATGTGCTGTACTCACAAACATTCCTGGTTTTACAGTGTACAAAATAATGGATCAGTAGTCCTGCCACTGTACTAACCTTTTCCCCTTGCAAAGCAGGCACAGAGTCTCGTAAACTGTGAAAGCTGTCTTTGATGTGGTCCCTACGTTTGCGCTCCAGCGCATTATGGTGTGCCCGTTTGTCTGCCTGAAATGAAAATGTTACATTTATTACAACCCTGTAAAATTAAAGAATTACTGAAGCCACAAAATGTGTCAAAGTACCTGGAGGGTTCCAGTTTGTGATAATGGATTTTGCTTTAATGGCCAATGGCCAATTACATAAAGCCTGCAAACAGATTTTCCTTCCAATACTCCTGCATGCATCAGACTCCACTTTGACGCATATCTGATCAGATCAAATGAAATGATCAAAATTCTCCACAATTCTTTATTTCACAGTTAATATTACAGAACCTTTCTTTTTGATTTGGAACCTAATATATCCTTTTAAATCAGAAAATAAAAAGAAAAAGCACTGACACAATTATTGACACCCCAGACTCAATATTTGGTAGCACAGCCTTTGGTCAAAATAACTGCAATCAAGTGCTTCCTGTAGCCATCGATGAGCTTCCGGCACTTCTGTATTGGCAGTTTGGCCCACTCTTCTTGTGCCAACTGCTCCAGTTCTCCCAGATTTGAAGGGTGTCTTCTCCCGACTGCTTTTTACAGATCTCTCCACAGGTTTTCAATGGGTTTTAGATCTGGACACATTGCTGGCCACTTCAGAACAGTCCAGCATTTTGTCTTGAACCATCCCTGGGTGCTTTCTGAAGTGTTTGGGATCGTTGTCGTGCCGGAAGACCCATGACCTTCGACAGATACCCAGCTGTCTGACACTGGGTATGACATCGCACTCCAAAATGCCTTGGTATTCTCCTGATTTCATGATGCTACACACATGTTCAAGGCACCCATTGCCAGTGGCAGCAAAGCAAACCCAAACCATCACAGACCCTTCTCCATGTTTTAATGTAGGGAAGGTGTTCTTTTCTTTGAAGGCTTCATTTTGTTTTCTGTAAACATAGATCGTGTGCTTTACCAAAAAGCTAATTTGGTCTCCTCTGTCTACAGGACATTCTCCCAGAAGGATTTTGGCATGTTCAGGTGTTTTGGCAAATTACAGTTGGGCTTTCTTATGTCTCTCTCTCAGCAGTGGGGTCCTCCTGGGTCTCCTACCATATAGCCTCCTTTCATTGAGTTGGTGATGGTGCGAGTTGAAACTATCATACTTTGTGACTGAAGGTCAGCTTGAATCTGTGTAGTAGTTGATCGAGGTGCTTTCTCCATCATTCGAACAATCCTTCACTGCAATCTTTGATCAAGTTTTCTCTTGCAGCCATGTCCTGGAAGGTTTGCCATGGTCCTTGGACTTCTTCATAACATTACATACAGTGGAAACAGGAACATCAAGATCTCTGGAGATGGACTTGTAGCCTTGAGATTGTCCAAGCTTGGCTACAATCTTGTGTCTGACCTCCTCGGACAATTCTTTGGTTTTCTTTCTTTTCTCCATGCTCATTGTGGTACACACAATGACACAAAACAGGAGAATAAGTCCTTCGCTATATTCAAACTCGTTGAATGAGTGATTTTTATATTGCAGGCACATGCAACTCACCACAGATGAGTTCAATTCCAAAGTTAAGGAGAATCACCTGCTTGAAATCTAATTATCTCTAACTACTTGTAGAAGGTGCCAATAATACTGTCTGGGCCATTTCAGGATTTCCTGTGGAATAAGCTAAAATGTAGTAAATTATTCAGCTTTTTTATTTTGTTTCACTGCAAACCAAAGAAATACATATGTGGAGAATAAAAATACAATATTTTTGGCCACAACTGTGCAATACGTAAAGACCATATATGAGAAAGAAAAAATTAAAGTGTGACAAAGCAATGTATCATGGCTGCTCCATGCCAAGCAGGTGGACCGTAACAGGAAACAGGAAAAACAGTGACTTATATTTAAACAGATTATGAGTGTTATTATGTTATGAGTGCAAGAGAGACAGCATGTGATACATGGGGAAGGGCTATGTGATTTAGTTCATACTGTAACTGGGAGGGCTAGAATGATTCTGGCCAAACTTGTCAAACTGCTTTATAATGAAAAAGGCAACTTAGAGTTTAATAATCATCCTCTAGTAGAAACAAATGTTAAGGAGTTAGAAACGTTTTCCTTGGAGCCCTCTTATAAATGCACTTTTCACAGAATCTTAACACAAAATAACCACATACAGGTTAGGTAAGAAAAATTAAAATCACATTTCAACTGTTTCTACAGCATCAGTAAAAAAACTAAACTTGTTAAAAACATCCCCCAGTACAGAATAGCAAGACACCCTCCAATAATAAAAACTCAGTACAACTGTTCACTTGCCTGAGAGAATCACACGTACCCAAGCTATCATACATGCAAACCAATGCAACGTAGAAAGGTGTATTTTAGGACGCAGATACCCATTCACCCCTAAGGTTTCACAAGACATATGGAACAGAAATGCATATTAACCGACATCATCATTGTCCATTTTCTACTCACATGAATCTGGTGGACCTCACCAATGTAAAGCGCATGTAAAAAACTTAGAAAAGCAGAAGACAGCCCTTTTATCTTCACTCTTGCTTTTCACCTGGTAAACAAATTCAGACTTTGCTGTTCAGAAATAGGTATTTTACACATTCCAACTAAGCCTTTCGCACCTCAAACCCATCTTGACTCTCAACAGGTTTATCCTTCAACCCAGACCGCCAATCTATGTGCCCTGTAAGTACAATCACAGTGGGACAAAGTAGCATTGCAAACCGAGTATTTGGCTGTAATTAACTGTGCACCGAGCAGTTTGCTTCAAAGTAGAATTATGTTGACTTTCTCGGGAACTAGACAGAACTTTTTATTAAATCTGTCAAAATTTCAACCACTAGACAGTTTTTGGGAAGGAATATACCAATAATCCTACATGTTAACTCCCTCAGGACAACTAATAAAAAAAGAATCCCCCAATTATAAAACTGTAAACATTTTTTTCCTTTCTGAAATAGCTACTTCTCTGCTGTAGTTCAGGATTACTGTTCATAGCATGAAAGACAGCTCTAAAGTCCCACGTTCCGTTTTATTCAGGACAGTCTGAATAGATTCTGTTCAACAGGACAAAAACGATCCATATCTGAATATTTAAAATGTAATTACAAACAGCTTTTCAGCAAATAATTGTATTCAACAAGGTTTCGAATTCTCACTACTTCTGGTCCAACTTCATCATCATCACCTTGAGGTTAAGGGCACAACTTAAGTGTAGTGAATGCCAGCTGTTGATAAATGAAAAACAGCTGCTTTGAGCAAAGGTTTACAAGTGGCCCACCTATCACTTTACACAAGTCATGTTTGCTTTATTTTTACCACCTGGGGTGCACTGGTATCCCAATACACTAGAGCTATACCAGGGTGGAGGCTGATGCAGTGTACAAAGGCTTAATAAAATGGTTACAAAAGAATAGATGTAAAGTGTAAAATGCTCTGTGCATGGGCAAGAGAAGTAAAACTCACACCAGCTGCTCCAATTGTTCCAGGCCATTTACATGAGCATGAGAATATCTACAAACTATACATTCCACTGACAGCCATCCTATTGAAGTCATCATAGTTAAAAAGCAGACAAGTCAGTTACCCAGAATCATTCATTTTTACAGTCCGATTCACATTTCAAAGCTGAAACATGGGGCTCTCATCTATAAATGTAGAGTCTTAGACAACATGCTCTCAGAACCTGTCTTCAAACAACACGGATGGATCCTCAACAAACTGCAGTGAGATTGAAAAAATACAAATTCATCCATCACGACAGAACTGTAACAAAGTACAACTTTAAAAAGCAGAGCTTTTGCACGTTTGACGCAGATGCATGCCATTTAAGTATGTCAATCATGGAAAAAAGCACCATCAGAACAGGATCTTTCATTAGTTAATTGTAAGAACTGTACTATAGGAAGTGTTGCTTAGCGATAGAACAAAGTTGGCTAAGAACCTGTCTGTGGACATTAAAAATCCAGTTCTTCTCTCTGCAGAACATGAGACACCTGTCTTGCTGTTCAGGACATTTCAAAGGAAGTCTGCCTACGTCCACTCCATCTATCACCACATCTGTCCACTGTCTTCCTCGCTAGGTCTTGAGTATTGGCCGTATGGTACTACTACACTACAGGTTAATTAAAACAGCTTCATGACAAATACCTGTAGCTGTTAGGTTCTCAGCTAATTTTCATACAGGAGTCAGGAGAGTAAGCTAAGATTCCTGCTCTTCTCTGATTTAGGTTCTCAATTTCAAGTCCTTAGTAGTTTTAAGTCTTGCAACATCTTCGGTTGCATAATTCAGAAGTATTTCAAATGGTTTCTGATAATACCTGAAAAAAAAAAAAAGTATTATTCCACAGAGATGAAAATCTCTTCCTACAGAATAGATGGTTTCCATGATTGAAAATGCTGTTGCAGGAGGAGACTTTTCCTTATTTCCATCTTGATCAACAAGGTTTTGATAAAAACTGACAAAACACCAGTATTCTAAAAAAAATAGGGACATTTTAGTAAAGCTCATTAGCTTTTTGGTGGTGCAAAATATTGTTCCACTATTAGCAAAATGGTTTTGAAGATCATATTCTAAAATAATTGAAATCCAAATAGTTCGAGAACAACAGATTCAGTCAAGTAATGGAACTTTATTCCACAACTTCGGGAGGCAAGTTCTGGAAAATGGAGGAGGGGCTGACATTTTTCCATTTTGTTACTGAGGACTAGTTTTTATAACAAAATATTCCTTTGACAAAAACGTAGCAAACTTTTCAAAATATTACAGAATTAAAATATTACTATCGAACACTTTCATCAGCCATATAAGCCATATAAAACTCACTTCACATTTCAAACATTTTATGGTTCATTGCCTGCTAATTTTACAAGGCTCAGATGCGATTGTAATAATGACAATGCCGCAACAGAACATACCGCCTTGTTATTCTTTTAATATTTTTTCAAAAAGTATGGAAAGAACGTGAAATAACAGTATTCTTAATAGGTCGGAAGGAATGTCATTTTGAACTCATTAATCATCACATCTCCCACTGTGGCTTATTAAACATATTTCATGACTCAGAAATAAAATGCTTGTCACAAGAACAACACTTGAATGTATGGTATTTCCTCAAAACAGCACAAGAAAAACTTTACACTTTCATTTATGTAAAGTACTAGCCAGAAGTTTTTAAGAAATTCTTTATACAATTTGTTTGAAAGCAACTACCATGGTTTTCAAAATTAGACTTAAAATTCTACATTTTAACCCAGAAATTAGATCAAATTCCAAGATAACCACCAACTGCAAATTGCAAGCCCATTACTTTGTTTAGTTTCCATCAGGTAGAATCAACATTTCAGAAAACTGGATTATACCGACTACTCCACATGTCATTTGAGAACTGAAAATACAGAGCAGTATTTACCACTAGTTTTCCTCACAAAGTAATGAAATCATTTTTAAATGTACTGACGCATTCTAATGACTAATATTCCAAATTTTGACTAATATCCAAATGTACAAAAATTTGTAATTCACTGCAATTCCCTTTGAAGATGGAGGCAGGCATTTGCATGCAAAATAGTAGCTCAAAGCTATATATATGCACAGAAACATTTTATATAAGGATATACAACAGCTTTTAGCAGATTACCACAAGGAGTGTACTAAGCAATAGTACCAAGGGTTTACAGAATAGTAAACTGTAAGCAACAAAACCTCATTATACATCTCGGTTGTGCTCATATTGCAAAATAAGATCTCAGGATCTCACAATGTTTTGTGGTGCCTGCTCTCCGCTGCAGAGAGGAAATCCCTTTTTGCTTCACATCACATTCTTTTCAATCTAATTTAACATATGGTAAGCTGTGTTTGAGGCAACACTTTGAATTAACACAAAATATAAAAAGGTTATGAATGAACTGAGGTCAAGAAGCAATGCTAACTGCTACTAACCTGTTACAAAACAAATCCAAAAGTGCCATTCTTTTTGGGGATGATCAAAGGAACTACCGTATTTCAAATGACCATAAGGTGCCTGTTACTGAACTGGCACAAATTAACCTGAGAAACCCACTGCATGCAAGTTAAGCAACACCATATGATGGGCAGTGTGTAAAAACTATTTCTATCCCCTTTTTGTAATATCATTCTACAGCATCCTTCCGCTACACTGAAAGTCCAGCCTTACAATTCAATCTATGGTTTACACAGAAATCCATTTTATTATTTAAAAAAAAATACCGCAGGAGTACTGCTGAGAACACTATTTAAAAAGTTCCAAACAGCTTGTTTTTCAGTAATGGTATGAATGATCAAATTAACTAACCTGAATTAAATTTAAAACTACACAGCAACTGTGAATTATTTGACTAGTATGACTAATAAATGTAAACCATACTAACAGAGCCCAGATTCCATTGGGAATGTTTTGCGTTAATTTTTTTTTTTACTGGGTGTATAGCTCACTGACTTTAACCACTTGGTTTCACTGTTGTTTAAGACTGAGTCACAATCACAAGGCAACAAAATGTTTAACAAGACTTTGGGGTCTTCATAAACCTTTATCAAGGATTACTGCCTTAGGGGAGTCCTGACTCAAGGTCACCAAAGTCCTTGCCAAAAGGAACAGCAGTTATCTCTTGGAAATCTGTTGGAAATATGATGTGGTAGTGACCTGAATAACATCATTTCACAGACACAACTCTTTATTCCATATGATTGATACCTTGGCTTAACATTTAGCTAACTAATCAATAGGTCCAACATTCCCTTGGGTCAACACCTTCCTCCAATGTTTCTAGACCACTATAATGGTTTTAACATTTCTACTTTTGTCAGTGTGACCACTTTCCTTTATGACTGCAGCACCTGTAGCAATTATATTCCACGATTACTCTTTAACCTGAATCTACTGAATTGATAAATCCTGATTCACATGGACAAATATATCTTGAGAAGGGGCGTTTGAAGGGCATACTAACTTTATTCCATCGTTATGTTCATATTTAATGCTTAATATCAAGGTCTTCAAAATATACTTAAACA